CCCCAAAACCCCAAAACCCCAAAACCCCTTTGATTTAGCTTTATGATAGAATCATATATTATTTATAAATTTTAGGCAATAATTTAAAATACTAGAAAATGTAAAAGCAGAAGCAGAATTTAGCTCTTAAATCTTTCTACAACTACGACTCCCTCAGAAACTTAGAAGACCTTAGCGATGACATCATTCAGGCAAACTTAGAGATGACTGATATGGAAATTGAATCTTTGACTAGCATTCTAAATGAAATGGAATTACAGATTAAAACCACTGAAGTTTTAGACCAAGATGGCGATGAAATGATAAACAAGATCTCCAAGGTTTTCAAATTAAGTTTGATCCCCAACTCAAACAGGAAATTCCTCATTTATGACAATGCCAAAGACACATCAATTGAGCTGAGATGTTTGCCAGCAATTGAGTTGTACTTTGCAATTCCACATGCCTACCCGTCAAATATAGGTCCTTTATTTTACATGGACACTTCATTTTATGAGCCTTTCAAAAATTTCCTCTACGATTAATTAGCTTAGAAGTGGTATGAGAACAATCCAGTTACATATGAATGCATTATTAATATACAGGATGACTTTTTGAACTCTTTCTTCGACCAAGGAGATTTAGGCAATGTTAAGCTCAACGATAGAGGGCAGGTCTAATTTAACTACATTGGTGTTGACTTTTAAAGAGTGTTTGAGAAATCAATGGAAGCTCAGAGAAGAAGCTTCAATAATGAGGAGCACGACTGCAAAATTTGCATGAGAAAGTATTTAGGAGATAAGTTTTTCTTTCTTTCAGGCTGTGAACACTTTTTTTGCTATGACTGCATGATTACAATGGTCAATCAAGCTATTAATCAAAATCAAGTTAACAAACTTATCTGCGGAGAGGCTTCTTGCAAAAAGAACCTAAATGATATTGACATCAGAAATCTTGGTCTCGACAGGCAAACAATAGAGAAATATGATAAGATATCTCTCACCAACGCAATTGCATAAATGGATGATCTTGGATGGTGTCCTTTACCAGGCTGTGATTCTCTTGCTACAATTGAGAAAGACGTTAACTATGGCAAATGCTAGCATTGTGACTTTATGTTTTGCTTAGATTGCAGAGAGAGATATCATCCCTATAAAAGATGCATGGTCAACAGACTTGACCTAGTCGATATCATTTCAGAGGCAGAGAAGGAATCTTTAGATATGAAAAACAAAAGAGCAGAGGAGGCTCTAAATATTCTTTTCTTCAGATATTGCGCCAAGTTCTGCCCTAATCTAAAATGCGGTATCAGAATTTAAAAAGAAAAATCAGGTTGCACAAAAATGCAATGCCCTAAATGCCATCATCACTTTTGCTGGGCTTGCCTTCATGATGCAAAAGGAATGAAGCACTACAAAGAAAAGCCAGAGTGCAATGATGATGGTCCTCATCTTCAGCCTGAGCATTTGACCCAAGATATTAAAAACAAGCATCTGGCAGAAGGAGACGATTACATTAACCTTAAGTTCTGTGTTTTATGCCCACATTGCAAGTCAATCAACCAAAAGAAGACTAAACAAAATATGCTTGAATGTGTTAGATGTGCAGGTGTATTCTGCTATATTTGCAACAAGCCTATAAGTGGACCTGAGCACTATCAAGGAAAAAGTTTGTGCCATGTTGAGTCGGATCCTTGGACAGATTTCTGAGGCAGATTAGAGGGATTTAAACGGAGTGGAGTCGGATGAAGAAATCAGGCTTAGCAAGAGCTATTAAATTCAAGAGAAACAACAAAATTTACCTTAAATTAATTATTCAAAAACATCACGCTGCCTAAATCCTATTATTTTAACATGTCGGGGTTTTGGGGTTTTGGGGGGATCGGAAGAG